TTAACATTAACACCACGTCATATTTATCTTTCAAACTTGATCGTACACGGCAATACTCGGTACCATCTTGAATGTCTGAAGTGCAACCTGCTTTGGACACACGTTGTGACCGATAACTGTCAATTGCAGAGGCCAAGTCCCTGTGTTCAAACATGTACCTTATTTGATCCTCTACAGAAAATTCATAGAAGGAACTAGTGCTTTTGTGGCCACAACTACATTCCTCTACTTCAGATATTTTCCTACTTTTACACAATGAACAAAAATGGTGAGAAATTTCTTTCTGAAATGGTGAAAGTTGTTCCAATTTTTTTAACAAATTCTTAGCAGAGGATGGAAACGAATTAGGTTCAGGCAACAATGACTTTGTTAGTTTCACATCAGCGTTTAGACGGGCTTTTGTCTTCCTCTGAGATATGTACACTTTCAAAACCTTCAGTATGGCTTGGTTAGTTGTAACACTTGAACCTTCATAAAGAAAGTCATCATCACTTATACTTTCTTTTAACAGTAAATAAATTGCTGCAACTAAGAGCAACCAGTGCTGAAAATACTCTTGAGGAAGATAATTTTCTAAGGCAGGCAAAGAGTAAAATAAAAGAAATGCCCTCAGTTCACTTGCTTTTAAATATGGAAGGTCAGACAGACCGCGTGGCAGTCGCTTAATAAAGTCTGGCACCTTAATAGTTTTCACAAACTTATCAATTTCACTTATATTTTTACTAATGTTCCATGGCCCCTTTTCAGTGGTAAATATTGAAAGGAAATACTTCACTGTCCCAAACAGTGCTGTGTGCATATATTCTGCACACACTCCCTTCCCTCTATCAAAATGAGGGAGTCCACACACTTGACTTTCCCCTCTCTTCAGCAAGCTCACCCTGGAGATTCATCCTGGCATTTGAACGTAAAGCAGCTGGATGTTTTTAAAAAAACAATCCTTCTCAAAGTTGTCTGGTGCCTCTTCTTTGTCTTAGTTTTCTTCTTCCCTTTCTTTTGTTGATGTGACATTCCACCCCCACTTGTACATTCTTCTTCTGCAATTTTAACTTTCACAGCTTTCTGTTCACAAATATTACATCCATACCGGTGACTAAATGTCTTCACTTTCAGGCCCATAGCTTTAGCCGGGGCATCTGCACACAAACACGGACAAGCGATCTTAGATTTAGGCACAGTTTTGGATGCTGGATGAGTCCAACAGATTCCATTATTAGAAGCTATTAATTTCAAAGATTGCACTAGAGGTTTTAGAAACAGATTCATATCTGGCTTTTCATGAGCAACAAATATGCCACTAACAACAATATAAGACAATCAGCGTTGGGGGTGACACTTCACA